TTATTTCAAAATTGAAGTTATCATATGACAAATATTCAGTGGACAAAGTTTGAACAAAAATCTATTGTCACTTTTATTTCAGAGGAATTACCTTAAACCTCCAAACTTAAATACGTTTTCGGATTGGAGGAGAACGTGTCACGTGTCGTGGGTTAAACTCAGTAACCCCTGGGGAAGAAACGACTTGAACTTTCGATTCGCACGTGATCAGATCGTGCACCTTGAAACCGAGGCGAATTTGTTTTACCAGCTGGCGCCAAGCAAGTAATGTTTTCGCAGCTTGTTTCTATTTTTGAGTCGGGAGGAATAACAAAACACTTAATGACTGGCCCCAAAGGAAACAGTGAGTTTTGTTTCCCCGAGGGTCGAGGGGAAACAAAACCCACTTTTTCCCTTGGAGGTGGTCATAAAGTGCTTATTGTAAATTATATCACTGCCAAAAGCCTTATAAGTCGCCCGTCAGGTATATATCGGCACTCAGATACACTCCACGAGGGGTGGTTGAAGCACAGGTTATATAAAACAAACAGGTTTTAAAACAAAGCCTTACCATGTCATCAAATTCCTGGTGCTGGAGATGATCTACTCTGATGCCTTGGACTGATGACTCAACCTGAACGTGTTGAAAACAAAATCCCAGTTTGTAGTCAGTTACTGCAGACTTTCCAGAATTCATTCGTTGGTTACATGTAGTTAATCGATTATGGATGTACTTTCTGAAACCTAACAACTTTCCAAGACTGGCATATTATTCTACAACCTTGAGACACTATAATCCCTTCCACAACTGAACAAAAAACGAAAGTTGACCGTAGGCTACAACGTTACAATATCCAAGTTGCTGACAACACTGACTTAGGACCTTGTGTTAGAACGGGCAGAAGTTTGTTCCAGCATTAACACTGTTGAAAATCTCTCAGGTTTACAATAAGAGATCAAATCTCATTTTTCTTTACAATGTGAGGCAGTTAGGTTAGGAGAATAAAGAAAATAATCTGTTAGGAGATATTGCCTAGATTTGCCAGTTAGGAGAATAAAAACTTCGAGAAAGTTTATGATGAGTCTAGACAAGAACGGCTCTGTTGAGCTAGGACCAGGGCAGGACCTTAACAACAAAGAGGCCAATTTTTTTCCATGAAAAAAGGTGCAAGTTAATATAACTGATTACCTTTCCAGTAACATCCGAAATCAATCCATTCCAACTGGCAGGAACCATGATGACTGACGGGCGTTCATTTCTCAAACCAAAGGCGGGAATATGCGATGAAGCTGGAGTGGACTGATGATGACAGGAACAGCTACAAGAATGCTTTGGTTGAATTCCGATCTCATAGGTTGTCAACGCCCTGTGGGTACCCCTGTATGGATTCATTTGGTAAAGCGGTGCTTTCTCTTGGCTAACCATGTTATAAGCTTGCACCTCTCCTTTAGGGCCCAACTGATCAGATGGCAGTGTGCCGTACGTATTTGATTGGTAAGCAGGAAATCCCTCGGAAGCACCCGCCTGTTTGGTCGTTATTCCCTCATAGGATTCAGAGGGGTAACCATGCGTTCCACCGGTCCCCACTTGAGTATCTACCCCCCTGTCTTGACTCCCCACGGAATAATAATACACTTCATGGCCACCGTTCTCATAAACTGGAACAGCCGTGTACACGTTCAATATCTGTCCGTCACTCATTTCAATTGCAGAACCACTCGCACGATAAGCCTGCTCTGGCAGCTGTGCCTCCATGACACCAATCGATTTCATATCGTAAGGATTCGAGTCGTTTGTCGTCGTTCCTTCGTGGATACTCGTATCCACATTGGCCGTCTTTTTGTACTGATCAAGGCGAGTAGTCGTCATGGCTACAGAATTGTTGTTATCAGGGGATACAACAGCATAATGTTCCACCTGTCCGTTTGAATGGTTTTGAGGGTACATACTCTCTACTTCCCGACAGTCAACTTCATCAGAGCCGATAGGTTCGAGTTTTGGACAAACACTTGTAATGTCGTGCAGTGAATACATGACGATGGACGCTCACTGATTTGTCTGCTCCCCTTCCAAAGCCAATACCATAGGAAATCTCTAAAATGCCTGACGTTCCACCACTAAAAACATATCAGCTGTTCAACGGCAATCAGGCGGTGGACTAAAATAAAATATATATATATAACCAATGCATGACTTATAGCAAGATCATCAACTCATCCCTACTGTAGTCAAAAATTTACTCCCTGTAAATCCTTTAGCTGCCAATTTTGTGACTCAAACGTAATGAATTTTACCTCTCTCTTGGATATTATACATATAAAGCCGAAACAGTGACTTGACGATGGAAAACACTTCGTTTTCGAATAGCTCAATCTGATAATGGATATTAGAGGTAGATGCCGTCAATCTGTTAAAATCAAGATTTGTTTCCGTTTCGTCTGAGCAAAATGGAAATTAAAGGGAGCAAATTTTCTTTCGGACAATATCTTTAACAATGAGGGTCATGTTACAATTTCTGACCCAAGCGCCTTTTTCTGTTAATAATGCAGTTTCAAATTGTTTCTTACACGAGAACAGTGGCCATGAAAAGAACAAGACTATCTAGCTAATAACCACGTATTTATATCGAAGATTTGCCGATTTTATAAACAATTTCTTCGCCATTTCATAATGGGTAAAAATCTGCTAGCTGAAAATAGGAAACGTTGAAAGTCATGTTCCTGGTTCTTTTATCGCATCAGGTATTCAGGTAGCCTGCGTCGCAGACAGTGTTAACCGCCGGTATAGTCCTATATCGGGGATTTTATGACACGTCCGGCTGCAACGTAGGCTAGTATTCAGGATATGTACTTGTTCTCTCGTCCGTATTTGAAGAGTGTATCAATTCTAATTTTATTTCGGCTAGGACAGTTTCTATCCGAAAACATCTTTTATAATACCCAATGTAGCTGGTTAAATTTGCATCCCTACTGACAAGCCTGTGTTCGTGCCGTGACACCGCCTACTCTTAACAGTATTTTAGAAATTAAAATTAGCCCGAGGCGATCCGGTTTGAGTTACCATATTCTCCCAAGATGCAAAATGGGAACTTTACTAAGAGCACTACTGAGAATTGCCATTTGATCTTTGGGTACGTGCAGATAATTTCCAGAGTTGACCCAGAATTTCGTTTTCTCGCCACAGGAAGGAAATTACGTCAAAGCAAAACTTAAAAGGTTGGAATAATGGTTTTCAGTTGCCATCAGCGTTCTTTTTTTTATCTTAACATTTTAAAATATGAGCCCCCGTTGTTGATTTGTCCAGACAGTTTCAAATAAACCCTTTCTTCGTTACTGGGGCCATTACAGTTTCCATACAGCAAAAATTTGTCAAACCATAACTAAATAACTACTATTGGTCGAACACAGTCTCGCAGAAATTGCAATATCAAGTCGAATATCCCTTGCCCATACCGCTGTCGCGTGGTCGCTGTCATTCAACTACATTGCGTTTGTGACGAGACAAGAAGACTACAAGAGGAATAACTTCTGTTGTTTCAACACAAATAGAAATAGCTTTATAAGTTCCGCAGGAAGATAAGATCATGTGACGATAATGTGATGGACTTAAAACGGCCATTAACCACCGTAATGTAATAACAAATATTCGGGATATTAAATCAAATCTTTATTTGGCTTCGAAAACGTACTCTGTTATTCATAGCTCTGAGTCACTAAAACTTTTACTTTTCGTTTCAGGTCAATTATGACAAAACTAACGAAACAGGAATTTTAGAAGCATCATACCTAAAATTTCGCAAGCTTGGCTGACGTTGTCATATCGGTCACGCAATTGCTTCGGCAGTTGTACTTGTTATAATTGATCCCCGTTCTAAACTTAACGCTTCTAAAGTCCGTTTTGCAAGCATTTGAGATCAGAACACCTAGCGCAGTTTAGGAATATACACTCAGTTACGATTTGTGATTTCAGTTCCTAATCGGGCGCAAACGGAACGTTCTGCCCAACATTTTGACCCGCTGATTAAAACGAGTTACAATGTCATCGGTGAGCAGTGACGCAGAGCATAAAGTTATTGTTTCTCATGAGTAAAGTGAATAATTTGGACTTAATTGATCGAATGAAAGTTCTCGATTATCAATCTGTATAAGATCAATCGAGAAACACAGCCTAGCGCCTCCGCTAGAAAATGTGTATTTCTAATCAGTTAACCACAAGGAGAATTTTAAGAACGTCGGCTTGTATCCGGCATTATGAACCGCACGTTCAAACAAATACTTAAACTCATGGCTTGAGTCACGTGAAGATTATTCAGGCAGATACGCCACAGCTTCAAAGGAAAAGAAAACTCGAACGTTTCGATTAATAGACGAATTTGACATCACGGCCCGGTACTGAAAAAAAGTAACGACTTCAGCATTGTGTAAACAAGAACTCATAATTATTCACCTCCACGTGGAATGAATTCACCCTGACATTAATCACAGGTTCCGTGATTTGCATCAGAATATATTTAGGGACGTATTCTAAAACCAAACCTTTGTACCATCTTCAAAATGGGATAACTACGAAATGACAACTAAACTGTTGAACTTGATCTGAAGATTCGACTGTGGGGTCTAACTACAGCCGTTGGACTACAGGAATGTGATTCCGTGACTCGAGCCTGCTTTAGTGAACTCAAAACAAGCACAGTGTCAAGGTCTAACCTTCCTCTGCTAAATATCATCTGAATCTGAGGTCTTAAAACACTAAAAAAAAACTTCTGAAACTAAGCTTAATAGTATACTCTGGTCTTGCCAGGGTTTCGAACTCTTGGGGTTCTCAAATTAATCATCAATTTTTCCGACCGTTCGGCATGCACAATATTTAATATAATCAGTATACATTTCGAGAATCACCGACTGAAAATATCACTTTGCTATGAAGCATATGGATACTAAACACCTCGTAATGGTCATTAAATAACAATTACGACTAAATGAAGACAGTTTAGTGACGGTGTACATATCATAAGTTAGAAGTAAGCGAAAAAAGGCAAAAACGTACCTCGATGCTGGAGGCGTGCCGTTCTCACACGGTTGTCGCACTATCTGAATGGTGTGACACAGCAACAGTGATGACACTCATGCTGGGACAACCGAATGAGTTCATGGGAGGGTGGGTGGGGGTCAAGCAATAAGCAAAAGGGCAAGTGAGGTTTAAAAATTGTTTGAAAAAAAAAACCAGTCTACTTTGGGTTTGCTTATGTCGTAGATCTTTCTGATCAGCATTCTAAATCATTTAGATCGAATTCGCCGACTGGTGAAATGTAGAGTAAAATTTGACAGATTTGTTTGAACGCAGTATGTCGTTTGCATCTCATGTCACCGTTACTAGTTAAAAGGAAGTCAAAAATATATTAATAGGCGAGGGCTGAGGAATCCTTGTCGAGAACATTTCTTTGATTGACATCATAACCGGAAAAAACGGTTGGCACATGACTGAAGCATGGTCTAGGTGACCTATCGATTTATAATCAAAAACGTGCTGAGTAACAGGAGAGCGTCGATTATTTGAAACAATGCTAGGCAATGTGTGTCTTATCCAAGGCTTTCAGTACATGCATCACGAGGAAGTTTAAAACTGCACGTACAAAGAGCGACGCGCTGCAGCGAAAGCTAAAGGAATTTGACTCAGACGGGTGCCGGAAGGCATTCTACACGGGTGTAAACGCAGCCAGCCCAACGACGGAAATGTTAAATTCACTGAATATTACTCCTTGAGCACAATAGTGTTTTGTAACGGGCAGCTAATTACAAATTCAAATTTCGTTTACAAATGTGTAGCTTCACTGATCTGATAGCAATCAATAGCGGTAACAAAAGGGCTAAAAATTATTACAAATTCTTGATGACGAATGAAGCAATCAATAAAACGAAAAAACCATTTGCGTGTTGGCCGTTGTTTGTCTTGCTCCCCATTGCTTTCATTTGGAATTCTTGAAAATAAATTTAGATTTGACGCTCGATTTGCATCACAGTACAAACAATTCCCTCCTTGATATCTTCGTAGCGTCAAGCTGCAAAGATCTTCATCCAAAGAAAAGTAAATAATTCAGATAGTCTTGTCTTGGTGATAAATCGATTACAATGACCTTGTTTGATCACTTTTTCCAGCGGAATGTGATTGATTCCGGAATTCTAGACCATTCTATCTCGATTATGGAAGTGTTTAATACACCTCCAAAATGTCTTCCGCTATTGAGTGTCTGTCTGCCGACACTGACCCCGAGATTCAGAAAAAAATACTGCTCACCACAACTTACTTTCCTAAAATTAGGAACATCTAGTTGACTAGCGTTTGGTACATTATCATAAACAATAAAAACGATAAAGGAGGGGAAATTCATTCTCAGATTTCGGCGGAAATAAACGCAATCGAAAACATGCTTCTAACGGCGTTATTTAGCGGAATGAGTCCCACTTTCGAATGCCTACGTACTCACCGTTTTGTTAATAAGGATACTTACTTAAAACTTGTAGCTGTGTGAACAGTGAGGGAGAAGAGCACTGCACATCTAAAAGAACCACAGCGAACTGAAACTCGTGCTGTTCTAAATCGCGACACAGCAAACAATATCATGTTATTGACTGCATTGTCGGACGGGCGACTGGTGTAATTCAGGGGGACTGGAAAGTTGTTTTCGTAGCGGAAGAGAGAAAAAAAAGCGAAGAAGAAGCCGAAAACTTTTAATTATACACTGTCCAGGTGGAGAGGTACTCAGCAAAATAGTGAAGACTATACAGTATTAAGCCACGATCTCACGTAACATGAGATGTAACCTAAGTTCGCCAATTGCCCATAGTTTGTACGGCCCAATACGAAAAGGTGACAAAGTGAATTCTTAGAAACCCATACTAAAGATTTGTTTTTAACTCCAAGCAGTAAGTAAGTTAATTGTCTTAACTGTCACAGAGTATAGTCAGGAGAATTGGTTGAAACTTTAATAATGATAATTAAAAAGAGCAATTAAAATTTATAATGCACAGACTTCCAGGTGATGCTCAGTCGCGCATAAAAATTATAATACATTATAAATTTAAACGTGGAGGATAAAATGAAATTACTTTATAATACGTCGCTGGATAAAAACATAAAAACGATCCAAAAATATTAATAAATTTAACGATAAGCTGAGATATGAGATCTGCTAAATCAGTACTGACAGCTGTATAGCTAATGGGCGGAAATTTTTAACTGACACCCGAGTACCAGATCCTTTTTCGACCCTGTTTACCGGATTTAAATTCAATCGCCCGACTGACATATCCCCTAACTATCAATCCTAATATTTATCATTCTCGTTAAATTTTTTTCGCTCTTATTTCCTCTGTATTGTTTTTCAGTCTTAGTACTATTAAAGAATATTATTTTGTGGTTTAAATCAATTTGAAGGAAATTGTCAAGTGGTGCTTGCTTGTGTTGAGAATTGAAGTCGCCAAAATGCGATTCCTGTTTATATATCGGCATCAATTGGTCTGCTTATCAGCCTCCAAAAAAAAATATCGAAAATCATTTAAATGTAGACGGACGGACAAACCTGTTGACTGAGAAGAATTGATACCTGGCTGTGCCATAAGGTCTGATAGCAATATAAATATCATAAAACACGTGTGTACACGCAGTCATAACCGGTAACAATCTGATTAAAAGCCGTGCTTGTTAATTTTTTGTTAATAATTTCCTCTTGTGTACACGTGTTTTTTTTTTCCTGGTCTTGTAACTGTTATTTTGTGACTGTTAACTCCGAATTGAATTCGAAGGTGAATATAAAGTACATACCTGTTTTAAGCGGCGCTTGGATGAGCTGAAAATGAAAGTCAAAATCGTGGAGTCAGCAGAGGAACTTTAAAGCAAACTGGTGATCTCTGAAATCAGGTGGAAAACGGCCCGGGATATCACTTCTTCAAGAGCTCAGGTACCTTTGACCAATTGTATTACAGCATCATTTAGTAGCGTTTGTAAAACTGAGGTCACGAATGAAAGTTTTTATCACTTCCTGTTCTCAGAAATCTCAAAATTACAATATAACTATGAATATAGTGAAAGAAGTTTCCTGGAACCGCAGGTTTAAACAAAAGAATGAGGAACTGACCTTTCATTTTAATTCACAAGAAGGCGTGAGGACTCTCTTTCCTTCAGTTTCCTAGAATCTTAAACAAAGAAGGAAGCTTAACGGCATCCGTGGCGAGGTCATGACAAAACAAAACACCCGAATTGAATACATCTAGAGGTAACCTGAGATGTTAATCCTGGTTAAACTCTTCAATCTGTTTCTCGAAAGCCCCGGAAACTTTTCGGGCACGTAAAGCGATTTTTAGTTCATCTGTATCTAAAAACGGAGAAGTGTATACGCCTGAAACTTCTTGAATGAAGAGAACCTCTGTTCGTATTCAGAATACGTGAGTAAAACAGCTCTGTAATCATTAGGTTTGAGATTTTGCTACGGCTTTCCGGTTGCGAAAACTTTTCGGGAGCTTCAAGCCCTCTGTCACGCACGTGTCAAAGGAAACGTGCGAACTCAGGAGTGGCTTTCAGGGAACTGTCTCGCGCTGCGCTTGCTTGAGTAACGGGAAAAAAAAACAGTAACGCAAGCGATTTTTTTTCAGTACGGAATTGTGACTTTTACTTAATCCAGAAAGCTCATACAAACTGTAAACCCAGTCCATGAACAAGGGGTGAACACAAGAATTTCCCAGTAGCTCGGTGGGGACACACAAGCATATACAGCCGTAAAATATCGCTTGACGTGGATTTTAGTTTCGATGATATAAAGGACCGTAAGGTTGACCCTGTCAGTTTCCAGTTTCGAAAATAGTGTCAGAATACGTATTTGTAAGGGTGGGGGAAACTAATCAGCTGATTGTCCACTAGTCGGCAATTAACTTTCATTTTCCATCCTGTTGAGCAAACAAAACATAATGATAAAAAAAACAAAAAAAGAGTAATCCCTGACACACCTGAGCCAGCAACCCCCTGGGAAGTCCATCAGTTGAAAATCAAATTTGGCCCGGTCTTATAGACTACAAAATTAATGTAACGAATGTTGAAGGGTCGCGTTCATTTCTTACTGCCCCGTAAATTTCCTAAAGTAACGACGCCTCGAAAGTAGCGAACCCCCAAAAGTACCGAGCCCTCTGACGGAAGCGAGCCCAAGGGCTGCTAATTCCGAAAGTAACGTTCGGAAGTTCACGATATCCGCATGATTGCAATGAACAGGCGATAGAAATGAAAACAGGAGCGGGCAGCTAGGCAGAGCCCGTGTCTGTCTGCTCTCCCAAGTCCCTTAATTTTCGCGCCTTTTCTTGCCGGTCTTCCGTCAGAAATTAAATATGTTCAATTGTGTAAAGCAAGAACTGAGCCTACATAGAACCGCATAGCAAGGACAAATGGATCGGGCGTATTAGCCAAACAAAACAGGCGCTTCGCTAAGGCTATGTTATAATGAGACCCTGTTAGGGATAAATTCCGACAGGCGACATGGCCTTGAAACGGCGACATGAGAGCTATGAATTGGCGACGAACGACAGACTACTCCAGCCAAATAGAGAAAGCGACACCAATGGCAAGATAGACCGACAACGAATTTCGGAACTGAGAATGCAAACATTGTTTTAAACGTCTGAGTCGAAGTGAAGATGCATTTCCAGAGTTTTATATGTGTTTTCCTCAGTCTCTCACGCGCGATGTCGACGGGTCGTGAAACCCAGGCTTTCTTTCATATGCTAAAACGTCCACGTCGAATAAAT